AAAAACCTAGTCTTGCATTGATGTGTTAAATTTCATTTTGACCTTGACCTTGGAAGTATACAAATTTAATAGTCATGAAACTTGCTTTTATGACCATTTCAAAAAGCTTGATCCATTAAAACTGATCTTTCAGACGTTTTTGTATTTGATTTCATTATCAAAATATGAAATACCTTTCCGCACACCTTTGTTTTTATCTAACCTCGTAAATAGTTATTTGTTTTTAATAACTTAAATTTATTATCATATATCATCAATTATATATCTATGATCATCAATAAAATAGTCTATTAAACTTTCCCAAGCCAATATCATCTCTGAGCAATAATTTTGAAATTCAGTTAAATAATTTATTGGAATATAACCAAATGTTATATCTCTTGCAACTACGGCAACCAGATGTATGCAATGCTCACCTAAATTTGGAAGAAGCTGAGGGATTGCTACCTAAGGCATAATACTATTATTATAATTATAAAGACAGGTAAAAATTTGAGAAAAGTTATACAAGTATACTGTAGACCAGCTCAAACAAAGTCACCATGATCTTTCCATGCTCATCTGAGCATTAATGGTCTGGAAGCCCTAACAGTAAAACAAAATTCTCTGAACAATACTTGATTTACTTTTTCAAATAATAAAACAAAATTATGAAATTTTTAAATACAATGATTTTGTTTCAGCAAAAACAAAAACAATCGGACAAGTAAGCAAAAGTTAAGGTCAGTTTGTTTACAAAAATTACAAATGTTAAAATACCATGATTTTGTTACAACAAAAACAACAGAAATCACGTGAAAGTGAAAGTTAAGGACAGTTTGATTACAAAAATTACAAATGTTGAAATAATTTTGCTACAACAAAATACAACAGAAATCCAGTGAGTAAGTGAAAGTTAGGAACAGTTTGATAACAAAAACAAGAACGTGTTTGTTAAACACAAATGCCCCAGGCTCAGATTCTTGTCAGTAGCAATATTTCAAAAAATGTTTACCCATTCACTCAGTTATGGACAGAAAAATTGCCAAAAGATTGTAAACACAAGTTATATAGCTTGACAAAGTCATGGCATTTTGTAATTGTGAAAAATATAAGTTGCCAAGTCATTGCTCTGACTTGTGAAGTTGAAAAATATTCAACTTCATGCAAGTTATCTTCCTACCAAATATGAAATACATCTGTCATTAAACAAAGGCTGTATGGGCAAAAGTGTAAAAATCTATTTTGAGCACTGGAGACCTTGACCAAACTGACCCCCAACTTCATCTAAAGGAAGAATACCATGCAAGTTATCTTCCTACCAAATATGAAATACATCTGTCATTAAATAAAGGCTGTATGGGCAAAAGTGTAAAAATCTATTTTGCGCACTGGAGACCTTGACTAAACTGACCCCTAACTCCATCTAAAGGAAGAATACCAAGCAAGTTATCTTCCTACCAAATATGAAATACATCTGTCAATAAATAAAAGCTGTATGGGCAAAAGTGTAAAAATCTATTTTTAGCACAAGTGACCTTGACCCACTGATCCCTACCCCAATCAAAAGGATGAATACCATGCAAGTTATCTTCCTACCAAATATAAAATATATCTGTCACTTAATAAAGGCTGTATGAGCAAATGTGTAAAAATCTATTTTTAGCACTGGTGACCTTGACCCAACTGACCACTAACTCCATCAAAGTTTATGTTTCTATCAATTATAAATAACATCTGTCTATAGAATAAGGTCAATACACCTGTAAAAATCTATTTTTAACATTGGTGACCTTGACATTGGTAACATTGACCTTGACCCAAATGACCCCTTACTACACCCAAAGAAGGAGGACCTCCCTTGGCATGTTTGTATTAAACTAAGACATCAACTAAAAAATAAAGGCTGTATATCAAAAATGTTTATATTTATTTTTAAAACCAGTCACCTTGACCCTAGAGACCGCTTACTTCACAAAAAAATAGAGGACCATCAAAGGTATCCACCTACTAAATATGAAAGATATCATTAAAGAAATAAAGCAATTAGGAGAAATTTAAGATAAATCCAACTTGCTGAAATAGGTTAACCAGACAAGGCCCTATTTTCAAAGTGAAAAAAGCGAAATAACTGGGAAATATGGATGACACAGTTATATAACTTGGCAATATCATGTACTTTGTATTGATAAGTAAATGTGGAAATTATAAAGCCATTAGTATAGATAGAACAAGTTTAAGATATTTCCAACTTGCCGTTTTAGGTTAACCATTATTCATTTTCTAAGTGCTGAAAAGGGCAATAACTTGGTAAATATGAAAGCCAGAGTTATGTAACTTGCCAAGATCATGTACTTTGTATTGCTTAGTAAGTGTGTAAACTTAGAAGCCTTTGGTACAGGTAGAACTTAAGAAAAATCCAACTTGCCACTCTAGGTTAACCTCGTAAGGACAGACGGACGGTTCAATTACTATATGCCCGGGGGCATAAAAATGAAATTTAGTGAACGTTAAGGACAGTAATTATTTCTGCTCATGAGTGACAACAAAAGGTACTACAAAAGACAATGCCCACCAATGTAAGTATTTATATAATTTACATTAACATAATCAATGACTCCTGAACAACCTTAAATCACTACACTGAACTGATGGGATAACTTTATCATACTTTTTAGTATTGTGGAAGTTAATAAGGCATAGTTAAAATGTTTTGATCTAATATGACAATAAATTTTTTCGTGAGCTATGACCTGGGCAAAAAAGAAACCCAGGAATGTAAAATATCTAGCTAAAAATCAATATATCCAGCACAATACTTGTACTCAATCAACATAATCAATCAAATCAATCTGAATTGACACATCGCAACTTTTCGAATTTCAAGATAACGATAAAAGCCGAGGTATTCTGATTGAAAACAGAAGCGTAGAGACTGGTGTCTTGCGCACTTATATGGAACCATAATACGACAGGGAACCAGAATAAATGGAGGCAGTGAATAAATATCGAATGACATTTTTAAAACGGAAAATGTAAAATAAAATTGAACAATTATTTTATACTATTTCACGGTAAAAGAAAATCGAGCTCGCTTTGAGGCTTTGCCTTTTTTATATTACTAATTTTTATGAAAATTTGAAATATGTATTTAAAAGGTGGACAAAGAAAGTAATAAACACATTGCCAGCAGCACTTATAATCTCTGTAAATTATCAAAAAGAGGTCAAAATATGCAATAATAGCCTAACAGCGTTAGTCACACTAGCAAAATGGCAATAAATACAGCAAAATCATTCAGAAATGGCACATTACATATAAATTATTCTTAACTTCTTGGTACATGTTTTCTCAAATTTGATTTTCTTGAAATATTCTGGCTCATCTGGAGGCATGCAGCTGTAAGGATTAATAAACTAAATGGGGATATTCATTGCATTATATGATTCAAAATACATAAAATGTTTGTTTGTTTGGGTTCTACATCACACTAGGTCATATGGCTACATTCCAGCTTTACAGGTGGAGGAAGACCTAAGGTGCCCTTCCATGCATTATTTCAGGTCTAAACAGGCACCCGAGTAGAACTGGAATCGATGTTCCATAAGCTAGCTGAATTGCTTTCTTATATGAAAGAATCCAAAGTCCCTGTTGGGATTTGAACCCATAGCGGTGAGGGGCAAGTGGTTTGAAGTCAACAACCTTGTCCACTCGGCCACAGACACCTCCATACAAACAATGATGATTATTTTACAATGGATGTCAATTCATTTGTCTGTTATTCTTAACTACATTACATAAACATGTATGAATGTTTTAACAATCATTCACTTTGCAGATGAGTTTGAAGTCTCAACAACACTGACAAGGTCTAACATATGGTGACTTCCCAGTTTTACCTGAGAAGAAAGACCTCAGGTGCCATAATCCTTGTTTTATATCAGGCACAAATGAAATATTTAAAATATCGCTGTACATCTAACCATAATGATACTCATTTGAGCATTTCAATAAACAACAAGAAAAGCTGTCTAATGATTAATATACATCTTGTTTTCAAAAATACCAGTTTATTAAAGTTTTTGCACTTTTATCCTTGTATAATTTTAAACCATTGCGATGCTTTATATTGACATCATTAGTCTGTGGGTCTGTAGCTTTAAATAATTTATAATGTTTGTTTTTTATGTATGATTTTCTAAATATGATTTTCTAAATAAGACCCACCATGATGTTTTATCTTCACATCCTTGCGCTGTTGACGATTATGGAAAGATACCTCGATTTGAGGCAATATTTTTTTAATTTTTTAAGTCAGAGATGCAACATATACAAATCTGACTAAGAAAAAGAAAGAACGCAAATATTTTGACTGAAACTCCTAAAATGTTTTTTTCTGCAGTTTTTAAATTTTTTTTTCCTTGACTTTGTAATTTTAGTTAATGACCTAGTTTTAGACCCCTGATGACCTTATGTGAACTTCACCAAGAAATCATGAAAGCAAACAGTTTTGGGCATGAAGATTAACTACTCGATCAAAAACATGATCTCTAGTGTGATAATGAATGATAAACTCAACTTTATGACCTTGCCTCAAATCCCACATGACCTAATTTAAACTCCTTTCAGATATATTATAAAAATAAACATTAAGATAAAGTTTAATGAAGAACCTATGAACACTGTGACACAGCATTTATGGAAGATGTTCTACAGACAACCAATTATCCTGAAAATGCACCTCTGAGCTCTACCACAATAAATCCAAGAATGCAACCACAATTAAATTTGTTGAGATCCTTTTACTGTATTTTTTTTATCAAATATTCATACTGTCATTACCCTAACTTGCTGTCAAGTTCACAGGGCTGCAATAGTGTTAGCGTAAGAATTTTGGATATAATATATCTCTATAATAAACTCTCCGCACATAAAATACTCGCACTTCTAAATATCATTTATAAATGCATGATAACCTTGCACTGATGCATTTACATTGAATGAAAGGTTATTTGTGCATGTGTTGTTGTTGTCGACCATCATGTTTGATTATCACTACCGAGTCTGTCCTCGTGAATATCATTACTAGCATTGCTCGACGTATCACTCATGTCCGACTGCACTTTGGTCAATTCTGTGGCAAGTTTACGTTTCTTTGGTTGATAATCTGTTATCATAACAGTAACATTATCTACAGTAACGGCTATCTGCTCACCACTCGTTCGATCTACGTTCTTCAATCTAGGAGGCCTTCAAAATAATACAAAATTATATGTAAGCTTACATCAACCTATAAAAATTCATATTGCTTAAATTGTTATGTGTAATGTTAAGTGGACAGATACTTAGAGTTTGAACAACCTTGACCCCATTACTGTAAATGTCAGAGGCCAAAATATTGCAAAATCAACATTAATGAGGTGAATTATTTGCAAATTTCTACTGTAAAATTTATATGATAACTAGCGACCATTTGTTTTTTGTGAAAATCTTCATTCAAGGGGTTGAGGGGGAAAGGAGGAGGGGGGCAATATGTACAATTTTTCAATACTCTTAAAAAAAAATAAAATGGCAATGAGGTTTACAGATTGTTGAACAATTACTCGACACATTTGTGTCCAAAATAAGGCTAACATGCACTATCGATGCATCGACAAGTAGATACCCTTACCATGTGACCAATTTTAATTAAGGATACAATAATTTGTGAAATTCAGTTGTTATAAATTTTGACATTTCAAAAGAATGTGTTAAATGATTGGTTAACATTCATACATTGTTCAAGGAGAATTTGATAAGTAGATTTCAATTAACATCCAAATGTCTGTAAATGGAAACATAATATTTAAAATCAAAGACTAACATCAGTTTTTAGCTAGTGTTGCCCCTTAAACTAAAGTAAAAGAACTTCTGAAGCTATCTGATTTATTTGATATCTAGATGACAGCATTTAAACAATTTACATAGCTTAAGGGAGCAAGCGTAGCTACAAACTGTAGCTGTTTTAAGCCTTGAATCTTTTCTTATTGGGTTGTAATTGACTAAGTCTTTGTCCAGCTTTTTTTGTAGGTTAGTAGCTTTTGTCCAATTTAAATTGGTATATAATCAGACAGTTTATGGAAAATAGACAGTAACAGAGAACAGAAGTTTGATGAAGATCCACACATCTAATCATAATATGAAGTTATTAAAAGCTATTGCATATTTTACATCCAGACAGGAGACATTCAGCATAAAATGAAAATCCTGTGGCAAATTTTTTTAATAAACTGTTGATCCTGGGTTACTTTGACATACCACAAACACACCTAGATTAAAAGTTCTCTCTCTAATTCATTTTATGGTCAGACAGTACTTGAAATGAAGAGAACATTTTCAGTAGTACAATAGAATTGAATAAAAGAAAAAGAGCTGTCGGTAGGAAAGCATGCTCAACTTTTCTCAGTGCTTGGTAGCAAAACAAGAGCCTTTGTAATGTAAAATTTCTAAGTTCTAAAAGATCCAGTAGGACAGCTTGCTCGGCTATTCTTAATCCTTGGTAGTAAAACAAGAGCCTGGGTAAGTAAAACTTTCTATGTACCAAAAGAGCAATTATTCTGTAAAAATTCCATGCTATGGGCATTGGACAGTGACCTTCTATTATGCTCTAAAGTAAGTCAAAGTGTGTGAAGTTTCAACCCATTCCCTTCATTAGTTTTGGAGATACAATGTACCAACTTACAAGCAAAAACATGACCAAAGTGTGATGTGGATGCCAAAGTACATGTAAGTACATTAGCTCTCCCTATTCTTCCATCTGTTGAGCTAACAAATCTAATTCTTTAGTAATTTTAAGACAAGAAAGCCTCAAATGTAACAAACTATAATCAATATGTTGCAGACATTTCAAGGAAATCTATCAAAAAACTATCAATTACACAAAGTGTCCTTAATAATCCTACATATTTTTTCATAAACAGATTTACATTTGAAACTTGAATGTTAATAATTGTGAATACCATACAGTTATGAGAAGAAACACAGTATACAATGTACATATTTATACTAAAGGTTAATCAGTGCAAATAGTTAATAACTAGTTAATTACCAACTAGTTAAGAACGACATAATATATGGAATACCTCGTATTTTTCTTTGTTTGTTTATGCTGCCTCTGTTGTGTATTTTGCTTTGTTATTTGTGTGTTTGATTTTTCTCCTTTGTTCACTACTGCTAAACCTTTGTCTTTCTTAAATACTGGCTTAGGGGGCGCAGGTGGTGGACCAAATAAATCATCCTCTGGATCTGGGAACAGTCGGTCCTGATCCTCGTCATCGGGGTTCGGAGATCCGGGTGGTGGTGTCAAAGGTCCAGCGTACTGTTGGGCCACCTGTTGAGCTACTAGCTGGGGATTCAACTTGGGTTTACTGCATTAAAGAAAAAAACAAGTCTTATCTTTTTAATACAACCATACAACTGTTTTAATTAAAACTAGAAATGTCTTCATTTGACACTTGTATGACCCCACTTCATTTGCTGTCACAGTGGCATATTTTATAAAAGTATTAAGAGTATTATATCTAATAAGTTTCACATAGTAATGACTATTAAACATGTTGTATGGAGTAGACAATGATTTTATGTGCCATTGTGACCATGACCTACATGTAATAACATCAAAATCAATAGAGGTCACCTTAGTAACTCAAGTTGTCCCTACAAAGCTTTATAACCTTAGGCTTATTACCTCTCAAGTTATGAATTAGACATGGTGTTAATGTGACTGTGACCTAATGACCTCAAATTCAACAGGGTCAGCAACTGGCCATAGGCAATGCCCCAATTAACTTTCATTTACTTACAGGTATTTTGACTACATAGTTGATAACCAATGCATTAATGAATATTATACTAGATATCAGACACTTATTTTCAGTCCACCCTTTCTGTGTAAAACATGTAACTGTCTTAATACTGGTCCATTTTTTGTTTGACACTTTGTCATAGTTTATTGTATTCACAACATGTGAACATTGCAAATAAACCAGGTTTTTTGCTATAGAAACCTTTCTGTATTTATGGTAACTGATCGTGTAAGGAAAATGAAAATAAACACAAAATATGACACTGACTTATTCCAGTAACATTTTTACCAGGTTAGTAAAGCTAAAGATATCATATGGAATGTATGATATAATTCATATTTCTATCAATACTGCTAGAAATGCATACTGACAGGACATTTTGTTCCTCACTTCAAAAATTAAAGTGATCTTAATAAAGCAGAAACCACTATACTTTAATTAGAAATGTCGACCATGACCTTGTCAGTTGTCTAGATATAAACCTTGAAAACTTGAAAGACAAACCCACAAGTTTTCATTTAAAAAAATCTTGTTATGTAAAAATTATATAATACATCATGTGGCAGTCTGTAATACAGTGAATAGATTCTATGTTTTAGTTACAGTTACCGTCATAAATTTACAGCAGATGTCAGCAGGGAAGAGTAAAATATCTCAACTCAATATCTTTCTTGTTATTTCTCAGTATTCAACAAATTTAGGTAATGAATTTATCATTTTTTAAATAAGTAATTATTTGATCCATGAAAAATGGGAATCATTCAAATGGTGTGGTGCAAAAAATAATTCATGTCAGCCAGTAAAATTCATATATTCCCGACATAATGGCAACTTCCCATGTTATAGATGGAAAAACCAGAATGCAAAAACCCAAGATGCCCAAATGTACATTTTTTTTGGTCCTGGGTTGGTCAAGATACCATCAACAAGCCAACCAGGCCTGCATGAAAATTGTCAGCTAAGAGCAGTAATAGGTTAACTTTTAATAAATTATGTAAGGAGTTAACACATTACTGCACAAAAGGTGAAAAAATAATACCACGTTCCTGGAATGATTTCAAAGAGTGGGTTTTATAACTAACCGTGTGGAGGTGCCTTTCCTGACATCGCACATGTCACACTTGTACGCCTCTGGAGAATTCTTAAATGTGCACACACTACAGTCCCAGCTACCGTCGTCAGGTGGTTTAACAGGTCGCTTTGACCTAAAAATATATTGCAAAGACTGGTAACATATTAATAAACTGTAGGGGACCTGTAAATAAATTTAGAAATTAGAGAATTATATTTGAATCTATGGAAGATATTCAATGAATTAGGCACAATAATTAGATTAGACAAGTGACAGTACTAAAGTAACTAGAACTCTGCGAGTCGGATGTGTCACCTTGTGAACAGTATAGTTGTCACTTAGGCATTTTCTTCTTAAATATAGGTTATTTATAAACACCGCTAAAGGGCAATAACTCAAAATATAAGAAGTGCAGAGTACCAGTGCACTGCACTGGTTATTTATGAGATCTATCATCCTATGAAGATTCAAGTCCATAGCTTTCATAGTTTAGGTGAAATGGCTGGGATAAAAAAAAGTAAGAATATCAACAATGGGCAATAACTCAAAAATCATGGAGTACTGGTTTTTGTGCACTGCACTTCATCTCAATAAGATCTATCATCCTATGAATATGAAGTTTCATGTCCAAAGCTTTTATATTTTAGGAGAAATGGCCCAGACAAAAATAAAGTATGAAAATTAACAAAAGGCAATAACTCAAAAAGTAAGAAGTGCAGAGTACCGGTTCTTGTGCACTGCACTTCTTCTTAATGAGATCTAGCATCCTATGAAGTTTCATTTAATGTACAATTGCAGAAACATTGCCAAATATTATGATAATGATTTTGGAAATTATTCAGACAGACAGTTGGACAGATTTTCTGTCATAAAAGTGCAAGAATTATGATGAAATGTTTAAGCAGCATGCCCCCAATGAATAAAATGATATCATACAGACATTGACAAATACAATGTAAGAACACAAAAGTTTGTAAAACTTATCATTTAAATTTTTATTTTTATTTTTTTTATTAAGGTTCCTTGCCAAGCTAGCCCAATGAATTTGGTGTGAACAGCTTGACCCATTTTTCAGACACCTTTTCATCATCTAAAAATTACATTGATGACTCTTTGACAATTCAATTAGTTGGACTACTTAAAATGGTAAAATCAAAATTGACTAAAAGACTGAAAAACAACTGAACTACACTTGTAGAATAAACAGCAAGAAATTAAAAACAAGATTGCATTTGTGAAAAATGCTATGCCACCATATTAGTAAAGTAGGAACAGATTTTTTTTGTTTCTATACAATTGAAGATTGCCATAATGCATAGATCCCTGACCTATCTCATTCATATTATCAGATTAGTGGTTAAATCTATTGTTATTCAAATATAAGATCAGAGTAGGAATATATCCGTCTAGTGAATCTGGTGGTGAAGGTCATATTTCACACAGCCTAAATTCCATGACTGTACATCAAAGGACAACACAGTAAGACAATTTGTCAAAATCTAGGTCAGCTGTAACAAAGTTCACTTAACATCTTAATCTGTGCACATGGTTAAAATTTCATAGCTGTACATGAACGGATAAGAAAGTAGGACACATCATCAAAATCTAGGTCACCTGATATCAAAGTTCAATTTTACAACTAAAACTGTGCACATGGTCAAAATTTCATTGCTGTACATCAAAGGACAAGTAAGTAGGTCACTGTCCTCCTGGGAAAGGCAAAATTTTGACCCAAGGGTTTAATTCAAAACAATCTTGATACAGCGTTTCATGTCAAATATCTAAGCTGTAGCTTTCTCCAAATCAGAAAACATTTGTTTTAGTTTCTGTTTTTACTATGTGTACATAATGAGAATCAATGCCCCCGTGCAGGGCGAATTTTGACACCAGGGGAAAAAGTTGAAAAACTTTTGGTAGAGGACCTATAGATGATATTATATACCAATTGTCAATTCAGAGAAAAAGATTTTTCAAGTTTTTACTTTATACATATAAGAAAAACTAACGCCTCTGGGGCAGGGCAATTTTAACACTAGGGGCATAATTTAAACAACTTTGGTAGAGGACCCATAGATGATATTATATACCAAATATCAATGCTCTAAGCCTTGTACCTTTAGACAATAAGATTTTTTTAATTTTTTACTATATGTACATAGTGAAAATCAATGACCCCCGGGGTGGGGCCAATTTTGACCCCAGGGCTATAATTTGAACAATCTTGCTAGAGGTTCACTACACAATGTTTCATGCAAAAAAATCTAACCTCTAGCTTTTGTCAATTCAGAGAAGAAGATTTTTCAAGTTTTTACTTTATACATTTAAGGAAAACCTATGACTCTCAGGGCAGGGCTTATTTTGACACTAGTGGCAAAATTTGAACAACTTTGGTAGAGTAGATATAGATGATATCATATAACAAATGTCAAAGCTCTAAGCCTTGTACCTTCAGACAATAAGATTTTTTGATTTTTTACTATATGTACACATAGTGAAAATCAATGACCCCCAGGGTGGGGCCAATTTTGTCCCCATAAACAATGTTTCATGCAAAATATCTAACCTCTAGCACTTGTCAGTTTCGAGAAGATAATTTTTAAAAGCTTTTACTATATACATATATTAGGAAAACCTATGACCCCTGGGGCGGGGCAAATTTTGACACTAGAGGCAAAATTTGAAGAACTTTGGTAGAGTACCTATAGATGATATCATATACCACATATCAAACCTTTAAGCCTTGTACCTCCAGACAAGAAGGTATTTTAAGTTTTTACTATATGTACATATAGTGAAAATCAATGACCCCCGGGGCGGGGCCAATTTTGTTCCCAGGGCTATAATTTGAACAATCTTGGTAGAGGTCTACCAGACAATGCCTAATGCAAAATATCTAAGCTCTAGGCCTTTTGGATCTTTAAAAGAAGATTTTTAAATTTATTCTTATAATTCTGTTTGGTTGCCATGGCAACCAGATTTCTGCATAGAATGAAATTCTTTGAACAACTGTGGAAGCCCTTCACCCAAAGATCAATCCTGCCAAGTTTGGTTGAAATTGGACAAGTGGTTTTTCACGAGAAGATTTTTTTCAGTTCACTATATAATCTATATAACACACAAACACACACACAGGTGAATCGCTATATGCCACCACATCGCAGATGCTGCGGTGCCATAAAAAGGGAGAAAAGTGACTTTTTCTCTTTACACAAAACAGAAGATATTGTATTGATCAGTGAGTAAGAATGATATTTTTATATCAATATTGTGATTATCAATAATCACCACAGGATAAACACATCTGCGGATGTTTCTAAATCTTGTCATCTGCTCAAACCATGCAAGGGGCTGTGAACGATAGCTATCACGTTCTTTTTCCATCCACAACAGGTTCTATCAAACTGAGCAGGAGAGATATTAAATTTTGCCATTTAGAGCCATTCTTTAAAAATTTTATTATGATAGGACTGTTTAGGACACCACAGGATAGAATATCAGACCCATTCTTAATGGCAATTGTGCTTATTTTTTCAAAATCTTTAGATAAAAAATTCTGAATCAAACTGTAACCATGTAAGTCCCAAACTCAAATTTGCTGACCTTCATTCAGGTATCTTACAAACAGATGTTTCCATACATATTATCTTCAAATATTATTGTTTATGTTATGATTTGATTTAGGGCTGTCATTGATTGAAAATTTTTTAGCAATATATCGAGAGACAAATATTGACGATACATCGATATATCGATTTTGATAGTAGATACAATGAAAAACATTTATATACAACATGTATGTGTTATAAATTGGGATCATGGTGTTATGCATGCTTGTATTACACATTACAAATACTACAAACTAACAGAAAGTTTTTTTTCTGTTATTCTTGTCACTGACATTTGAAAACAGAGTCAAGTCAAGTCAACCAAGAAAACTAGAAAAAAGTGACTTCTCTTATAAGCCAAATTATAGAGGTATATTAACTTACAGAAACAAGAGCCGGTTGAACCGGGTGATGCTCCCCGAATAGGTTTTGGACACAGGAAGGTATACCTCTTGATGTGTCAGAGTTATGTCACAGACAAAGTTCAAAGTGTAAAAACAACCCAAATATTGTGCACGACACATTGTCTAAATATGGTGATCATTTTTGTGAAATAGTTGTAAAATCCGATTTCAAATAACAAAGTTATGCGCCTGACATTATTTTGCTGCAAGGTCATGCTGTGACCTTGACCTTCAACGTAGTGACCTAAATGTTGCATGTGACACGTCGATTCAATATGGTGATCATCTCTGTGAAATAGTTGTTAAATCCGACTTCCAGTAACAAAGTTATGGGCCGGACACGATTTTGCTGCAAGGTCATACCGTGACCTTGACCTTCAAGGTAGCGACCCAAATGTTGCACGCGACACAATGTCTCATTGTGGTGATCATTTCTGTGAAATAGTTGTAAAATCCGACTTCAAATAATGAAGTTATGTGCCGGACACAATTTTGCTTCAAGGTCATGCTGTGACCTTGACCTTCAAGGTAGCGAGCCAAATGTTGCGCATGACACGCCATTTTAATATGGTCATCATTTCTGTGAAATAGTTTAAAAATCTGACTTCAAATAAGGAAGTTATAGGCCGGACACGATTTTGCTGCAAGGTCATGCTGTGACCTTGACCTTCAAGGTAGCGACTTAAATGTTGTGCATGACACGTCATCTTAATATGATGATCATTTCTGTGAAATACTTTTTAAATCTAACTTCAAATAGGGAAGTTATGGGCCGGACACGATTTTGCTGCAAGGTCATGCTGTGACCTTGACCTTCAAGGAAGCGACCCACATGCTGCACGGGACACATCGTCTCAATATGGTGATCATTTCTGTGGAATATTTTTTAAATCCGACTTCAAATAACAAAATTATGGACCGGACATGATTTTGCTGCAAGGTCATGCTGTGACCTTGACCTTCAAGGTAGCGACCCAAATGTTGCGCGCGACACGTCGTCTCAATATGGTGATCATTTCTGTGAAATATTTTTAAAATCCAACTTCAAATAACAAAGTTATAGACCGGACACGATTTTGCTGCAAGGTCATGCTGTGACCTTGACCTTCAAGGTAGCGACCCAAATGTCGCGCCGCGACACGTCGTCTCAATATGGTGATCATTTCTGTGAAATATTTTTAAAATCCGACTTCAAATAATGAAGTTATGGACCGGACACGATTTTGCTGCAAGGTCATGTTGTGACCTTGACCTTCAAGGTAGCGACCCAAATGTTGCGCGCGACACGTCGTCTCAATATGGTGATCATTTCTGTGAAATATTTTTAAAATCCAACTTCAAATAATGAAGTTATGGACCGGACACGATTTTGCTGCAAGGTCATGCTGTGACCTTGACCTTCAAGGTAGCGACCCAAATGTTGCGCGTGACACGTCGTCTCAATATGGTGATCATTTCTGTGAAATAATTTTAAAATCCAACTTCAAATAACAAATTATGGGCCGGACACGAATTCGGGACGTACCTACGGACTGACGGACGGACGTTCTCACAGGACAGTAATTATGTGGCTACTCTATTGTTCTCTCTATTGTTCTTTTTAGCCACGCAAAAGAAAATAGCCACATAAAAGCATTAGGGAATGAATGACATCAAAGAGAACCTATTGTCCCTCTAGCCACATAATTACTCTCCTGTGAGTGCGGACGGACTGACGGACGGACGGACAACCCGACGACTATATGCTCCCCCGAAATTTTTCGGGGAGCATAATAAAAGATAAAGTTTTAGCTTGTATCAATATGTGAAAATGTGTATCGATATTGTATCGGATGATGAATATCGATGATATATCAATATCGGGATAATCAATAACAGCCCTAATTTGATTGATATTTGAGTTGGTTAGAATCAACATTGTCGCACAATTCAAATACTATGCCAAAAGAGCTTATCAAGCCAAAAAAGCATATCAAGTTATCAACGATATATCGATATCGGATGACAAATATCAACACTGATATATATCGATAATTACCTAAAATTACTTTTTCTACCTGTTTGAATGATTTTAGTTTAAAACATGTTCTGTTCAGTGTCTTGTTTATAAAAGCCCATTGCATGATTTTTATTTATCCAGACCAATTTATATGTCATCATTGATCACTGTGAAATATTTCCACTATGTAACAACAGATAATGTTTAACATGGACACCTGATTCTGTATACTATATATGTTTTGGGTGAATTTTCCTTATTTGAAGTTATTTCTAGACATTTAATTAATAAATCTAAATGATCGATATTTTGAAATTTGTATCGATTATTGATCGACAGAAAAAATATCAACAATGCATCAATATTGTTTCTATCGATGGCAGCTCTAATGGTACCAAATATTTTTCCCAATTAAGCAATTTTACGACACAAAATTCCCCAAACTCGTCTAGGTACTTTTACACTTAAGAGCTAGGAAAAGGCCTTTGTTCAAAAACACATGATTTATATTGCCAAATAAAATGCTAATAAAATGTGTTTTGCAATGTCTTTTACTCTCCAGTAAGAACAGTTATAAAACAAAGACCTTAACTAGAAGGGGTACTGAGCTCATAGCATTGAAATGCTGTATAGAGATATATTTATGCCACTAACGGAAGACTTATATCAGATTTTTAACATGTGTAATACATGATACAAAATTGAGTACGAGAATTCGAAGAGCGAAAAAGAATAAACCCAAAATAATCATATCGATGCAATAGACAGCATTTGAAATTGCTTATTTAAATATTTATCTATTAATGAGTTCACTGTTGTTTCACTTTACCTGCCAGGAGCTCTTTTCTCGTCCATTAATATTAATTTTCAGCTCTTTGTTGTTTTTCTTCTTCAAACGGAAGTAGAATATGTCACGTGGTTTTCGTCACGTGATATTTAACTTCAACGGCGGTATTTTATTTTGAACGGATAGCAGCCGACAAGTTTAACAGTACACAGTAAGTACATGTACACTGTAAGAATGCCATTTGTTTTCAATTCACAGTAAAATTCTTTTAAACAAGCCTGAAAAAGGCCTGCTTTGGAGGGTGTCAGACTATGTAACTATATTATTCGCTCCCATATCTATATCTATAAACTACTGTAGATACTAGAGTATTACCCCTGTAAACATGCAGTGGTTGGGCCAACCACGGAAAATCGTCATAGGAAAATCGTTGTTGGGCCATGGTTGGCCCAACACTTATTAACATGTACTATAAATGCAGTTGTTGGCCCAACGTCGAACCAACCATAAGTTAACGCCAGCGACATTTCTGCATTGGCCCAATAACGATAAATATGTACTTTAAAACAGATGTTGGGCCAACGTTTGACCAACGATACATTTTCGTCAAATATATATTACTGCACCTGACCCAAAAAATTATTTTTTTAAAGACATATATGCATGTAGATATTTTACTGTATATAAACAGTACACTACAATGAGTAAAGACTAAAGTTTTTTTTGAAGCCATGTTTCAATATTGTCACATTCAAGAAATACTCATATAAATTAAATCAGAAATGTAAGTAAGAAATAATTACTTTGTGTGTCTAGAAATGACCAAAGCCCAGGCTATGCAGTAGTAGGGGATATGTATCTATATAGATCTATAGAAATCTTGAAGATCTGATGTATAATCATAGGCAATTATACATGTGCTGAAACATATTAACCATCCTAAATGTTTACAATAAACCCCCGGAATCTTCCACTCTAAACTCTAATTAACCTCTAGTTATGTAATCAATGAATGGAAATAGAATCATTTTGGCACTACCCATCCGTTCCCTCCCTTGATTTCGAGCTGCGTGGACGTGTTTACAGATAGATTTAAATAAATTTGTATTAGACTGCAATTTCTCAACACTGAAAAATGTAAGTAGATCTAGAGTTTTTTTACTTTAATCTTTAAAATAAACCCTTCTAATTTATTAATGTATTTAAACCTGCACGGAATTAGTGTTTTAAAACCTGTTATACTATCCACGTGACCAGGTCATGTGATTAATACAAAATGGCGGATTGGTAATGGAAAATACTTTGATGTTTTAAGGTAAACAAGCCAGAATGAATTTGATTTTTAATGAAATTAAAACCATTTAATTATATCAGTGTTAATCAGCTTAAAATATGATATGTGCATAATTTTACATCTGAATTTATTGTGATAACTGCAAAAAATCTTTGATAAGTTGCAAGTTAGTACAAACTGACAAACTACAATTAGCACTGTTAAGCTCATACAATCTGCTCTGAGTAATAAATAGGTAATTTATATTAATATGTTTGGTAGTGGTATACGAAACTTTGTGTAAATTTAATTTAAAGTGTAACTTTGCATTAAACACAAATTACTTTACCCGACTGCAAAATTGTTTTTATTTCATTTCAGACAGCAAATTTATGTCTAATTGGAGGAGATAGTGTGGAGAGCAATGTTCGCCGTGTTATGTCTCACACTTTGTCTCAGGAAGTTGCCCTAGAATACAACTGGGTTGGAAAAGGCTCGAAAAAACCATTCGAAAAACTTAGACTTAAGAAAGTCATATTAGGTTTGTATTTTTACTTTTTCAAAGTTGATTTCACCGGTGCTAAAAAATTATTTTACACCGTGGGTGTAAGATATGACTCTTGTGTTGTAAATGATCATCATGACTCTGTTTGCATTTTTACAGAATTATGCCTCTTTTTAACTTGAAAATTTTAGGTTAAAATTTTTAATGACGTCAAATATCTCTGTTACTATTAAATCTATTGACTTGTAATTTACAATATTTCTAACTATCAAAGTCTTATCCCTTAGCTCTGTTTGCAGTTTTTCAGTTTTATTTGCCTTTAAACTAGTAAATTCTAATTAGTAGTGTATATTTTAATAAAATCAGTAAACTGTATAAATTTCAGATGCTGTAAGAGGAAGTAGACAGGGGTCTACTCATAATGAAATCGAGAAGACAATGAAGGAGTGGCTAAGATATGCCAAGGATAGGGAAGGCGGGCGGAGGAAGAGATTGACTAAAAAGTTGCAACAACAAAGAGAAGAAAATGAAAATGATATGTGAACAACATTTAGTAATAAATTGAAGTAATTAGAATATTTTATGTTCTTTTATTTTACAGTCCCTCTGAATTCTAGGAGACATGCTGTTTTTGGTCTTGTCATCTGAGGGCCAGCGTTAGTAGTAAGAAACAAGTAATTGGGCCAATGGAGGGCCAACAATAAGAGTAGGAAACAAAGTGATAGGCCAACTGAGAGCCAACTTAGATAGTAGAAAATAAGGCATTGGGCCAACGAAGGGCCAATGTTTATTATAGGAAACTAGTCAGTGGGCCAACGGGGGGCCAACAATAAGAAGCGAAATCAGTTGTTGGGCCAACAGAGGGCCAACGATAGGAAGGAAAACCAGTCATTGGGCCAATGGAGGGCCAACGATAAGAGTAGGAAAGCCGTCGTTGGGCCAACCATATACCAACCGTTGGCCCAACGTTGCCCCAATTAGCAAATTGACATTGGGCCAACGTTGGCATTATGTGTTGGGCCAACAAAGCAAATGTAATTGGCCCAACGTTGGGCCAACTACTGTCTGCTATCTGGGACAGTATGACCAGACTATATATATAACTATTTTACCAGTTCCTACCCTGGTGTTTCCTCCCTGACCCCCCCCCCCATTTTGGGGGGAGAACTGTCTGTATATTTGGATGGTATAGTCAGACTTTTCTGTCCCTTACCAGTTCCTACCCTGACATTTGCTCCCTGTCTTTGAAGCAGAACTGTCTGGATTTGTGTATAATATTCTGTGACATACCAGCTCATATCTTAAACCACTTTAGTTTACTAGCTATTTAAACAAATGAATGGACTTGATTGATTGATCACTTGACCATAGCTCTAGATAATAAAAGTTGCATTTTAGCTCACCTGACCACGAAGTGCTCAAGGTGAGGTATAGTGATGGGGCTATGTCCGGCGTCGTGCGTCGTCAACAATTGGGTTGTTAACAGTCTAGCAGTCACAGTTTTGATTGGATCATTGTCAAACTTTGTCAGAATGTTTGTCTCAATGAAATACAGATCGAGTTCGAAGATGGGTTATCTCGAGTCAAAAACTAAGTTACAGGAGCTAAAAATAGAAAAAGCTTGTTAACACTCTAGTGGCTGCAGTTTTGATCCAAATATTCTGGAAATTTGTCAGGAAGGTTGCTTTGATGATTTCTAGGTCAAGTTCGAAGATGGGTCATATCCGGTCAAAAACTAGGTCACAGGAGCTAAAAATAGAAAAAACTTGTTAACACTCTAGTGGCTGCAGTTTTGATCCAAATATTCTGGAAATTTGCCAGGAAGGTTGTTTTTGATGATTTCTAGGTCAAGTTCGAAGATGGGTCATCTCCGGTCAAAACTAAGTCACAGGAGCTAAAAATAGAAAAAGCTTGTTAACACTCTAGTGGCTGCAGTTTTGATCCAAATATTTTGTAAATTTGTTAGGAAGATTGTTTTGATGATTTCTAGGTCAAGTTCAAAGATTGGTAATCTAGGTCACAGGAGCTAAAAATAGAAAAATCTTTAGAACACTAGTGGCTGCAGTGTTGATCCAAATATCCTGGAAATTTGTCAGAAAGGTTGTTTTGATGATTTCTAGGTCAAGTTTGAATATGGGTCGTCTCCAGTCAAAAATTAGGTCTTATTGCTCAAATATGGAAAACCTTTTTAACACTCTAGAGGTCACATTTTTGACTTCATTGTCATCAAACTTGGCCAGGATGCTTGTCTAAGACATTGTTTGGATGCGGTTGATGGGTCAGGGGAGCGAACCAGGGCCATTATGGCCCTCTTGTTTTTATAAACTAATCACCATCATACAACCTTAATCTCTGACAATGAATGTGTTGATTGGACTATAATACCTGATGAAAAATGTGTTAAAAAGTACAGCAACTTTTTTGACAGCTAAACGTATCAATTGATATAAAAAAACAACATTTTCAGGTTGCAAGAAGTTGCTTTAATATAAATCAAATTCATTGAAAATGAAATATCAATCTTCATTAAGAAACCTGTGATGATTAGATCTTATTTCACAATTTGACAATTGTTTCCTTACAGTCACCCCAGAAATTTATGTTGTTTTTAGATATGAAAAATGATTTAAAATCGATTAACCGCAAATAATGATTAAACAATTTTTTACAAAAAGTGGAATATGTAAGGCAACTGGTCACAAAAAAATTTAATCGCCAAATGCGACAGACTATAAAATTGCTTTGACCTTTTTTTCAATTTGTAGATAGTTACAGTTATATTCCCGTTGAACGATGATATTTTACCTTACATCTTAGTTTTCATAGATTTATTTATTTCATGCTTTACACCTAAATCATAAGTATATCCTCATTAATGATGAACTGCTATACAATTTCAATCTGTTTTGAGCTACCATTTCTAAATTCGGGACCAACCATTTAAACATTATACTGTGCTCCTCTTAGTTCACGGTACTGAACGCTTTGAAACCAGAAAGAAAACAACCAATGAAATTTATGGTTCAAAAATTGTCATAAGCTATAAAATATAGGTATTTTTTCTGCTGTATGGCACAAGGAAACAACAATATATTTGGTCAAAATCAATTCTAATGGACCAAAAGTAGACCATATGTCGGCCATTTTGAAAACAGTATGTCATCATAAAAACCGTGGTATTGGTGTTACATTTCAGTTTTTTCATATTTCAATTAAAATTTCTATATGTTATATTTTGCTTGATTTTAAATATTAAAATTGTTCATACTTTGTAACTCAAAATTTATTTTTTCAACAAACAAGAATATTTAGAAAATGATAATTGTTTCAGACATACGCACAAATGTAATGGACTATTGTTGCTTTTTGCAGACTTTGTATATGTTGTTCTGTT